GTTCCGGATCAACTCCGGAAACACTTGGTTTTGGATGTAGTCTGAACAGACAGCTGCGATATTGTTTGAATGCCGTCACCGGCGGTGGTGAGATTTTTGATATAATGTAACGGCGCAGGCAAGACTACTCGGATCAGTATCGGCAGTAGCGTCACTCAGAGGCATATGGGAGTGCGTGGGACATCAAACGAGCCTTGATTCGAATAGACACCTATAGGCCTTGTACGAAAGGATATCAAAAATCTATCGAGCTACGGTATGGAGAAGGTGGGGTTTTATATCAGCAGATCTGCCCTCGGCTAGTGCGTGCCCATGTTCGGATCCCTTTCGGATGTTAGTTCAGTGTGTACTCGAACCGTTACAGCCAACTCCACTGTATCGCCAGACAAGCCTCACGGAACACTAACGTAATACTCACCTGCCTTAGTGCGGACCAGGATAGAGAAGTATAGACCCATACCCCGTGTAACATATAACGAACGCCTTAGTCGCTTAGAGCTCTTTAGTGCTCTACTTATATAGAGAACTAAACTAATTTAGTAGAGGTTTAGTAAGAATAATCTTATAATTATACGGGCGGTATTTAGATAGCTAATTAGCGGTAGTCTTACTAAATATATCTTAGTACAAGTAGTAGATAGATAGAAGTTAGTTCTAAACTAACTTAGTATTTTTAGAATTATCTTTTAGTTATCTCTTTTCTAGGATATAATTAATCTTATAGATACTTATTATAAAGAACTTATTTTTCTTATATTTTATAGTATAGTAGAAGGCGTTAGTAGAAATAAGTAAGATACGAGGTAAAGGAGAGGAAGAGAGTGCAGGTTAAATAGGTTTTAGAGTAGAGTTAGGTGCTAGAGGTAGAGAATAGGCTTTAGAGAGTCGAAGAAGGCTATAGTTCCGTTAAATACTAGTTGTAGTTAGACTGTTTCTTCTCTAATAGTCGTTCTTCTCCTAGAGAGCGTTACGTCTCTTAATATCCTTCGTAGCCTTAGTATTAATAGCTAGTTATTTTAACTATACTAAGATAGGTAAGGTAGAGTTATAAGTTACTAGGTACTTAGCTGGCTATATAATTTAGTTCTAAACCATATCTAATTAAAGCTAGAATCAGCGTAGCTACTTAATACTAATAATACAATTCTGTAATCCTAAATCTATAATAATAAATAGATAGTTATAGATCTTATAGCTATTAATAGAGAGGTATAACTAGATATATTAGTTAACTCTTATCTATATCTAATTTTACCATTCTTTAACTATAATCTTAAAGGGCAGTCTTTAAATAGGAACCTAAAGCGAACTAGAGATTATACGAGTAATTATAGAATTTAAAAATAAGAAACCTTAGGCGCTAGTATTAACTAGTAACTATAGGCTAACACTATAGCCCTTTAAATAAAGAATAGTAAGAACTTAGAAGTACTTTTCTCTAAATAAGTATAATAGATTAATCTTAGTAAGGTTATACTTATAAATGCCTAGAGCGGAGCGTTTTTCTAGGCTTTACTATTTCCTAACTAGTTCTTATCTAACTAGTATTCTGCGGCTTTCTTAAATATATCTTCCTCTTAAATAGCTTCTATCTCTCTTATCTAAGAGACTGTATAGTCGCTCGTAAAGTGTCTAGGCTTACTATAGTAGTAGTAGTTATTAGGAGTAGCTTAGCATTCTGATACTAGTATCTTAGAGATAGACCTAGATATACTTAATAAAGCCTGAGGTAGGGTTAGAGCGGGGTCGGACCTTACTTCGTGCGTGGGTAGGCGATACTCTCTTGTCTAATAGGTAGCTAACTTAGGCTTTGTAGTTAAAGTATAGATAGTCTATCACTCTAATTATACTATAATAGGAGCTAATTATTATTCTAATTTAAAAGTAGTAAGATATTTATATATCTTATTAAAGGAGCTATTAAAGAAACGCTTAACAGCTATATTAGGAACCTGTAGAGCTAGGCTAATCTTCTACTAGAGATAGAAGGGCCACTCTAGTTCTAATATATATTCTTTAATAGCGAGACTAATAAAATAAGCTTTAAACTCTAAAAACGGCTCTCTATCTTTTATAAGCAGATTATAGAAAGTAGCTTAGCTTTCCGCCTACTTATTACTAGTTATAAAGTATAATCTAAGTAGCTTAATTATTTTCTCCGCATTCTTAAACTAGTACCCTTCTATCTTTAATAGGTACTTAGGTTTAAGGTATCTCTTAGCATCACCCGACGTATAGCTATATGTTACATGGGGTATAGGTCTATACTTCTCTATCCTAGTCCGCACTAAGGTAGGTAAGTATTACGTTAGTGTTCCGTGAGGCTTATCTGGCGATGCAGTGGAGTTGGCGTGCTTAAGGAGGGTTTTAACAAGACTAATCTATTTAATAGACTAACTTGCGATAATCTTGTTAAGTAAAGATACTAGTAAGAAAGTATAATTTAAGTTAACTACAACGAGAGTAAATAATAAAATCTATCTATCCTTATATTCTTATTGCTTCTAGTCCTAGCTTTATAGTCTTTACGAAATAATCCTTATATCCTCTAAAGTCCCTAAAGCTATCTAGTTATATATGAGAGTGTCCTTACATACTAGTGCGGAATACTTATTCTTAGCGTGAAGCTAGTTACGTGATCTTCGCCCTGCAATAATTATTACCTTCTAATGTGGACGTCTATAGGCCTTTAGCTATCTTATTATTTATTAAGGAGAGAATCTTTCTTATTACTTATAATATTACCTCCCCTCTTAGAGCTATTATCTTAATACCCTAGGATATTATTTTCTTATACTGCGTGTTGAGACGCCGGCTGCATATAAGGTTAGAGCCTGCTTACTTATTATAGCCGCCTCTACCTTATAGCCTTCCTAACTATACTAAAGATTTAGTTAAACTATCGCGTTTATACTTAGAATTTAACTTCTTAACGCCAGGCTTATACTAACTATATAAGAGAATAAGGTCGTAAAATAACTTTTTATTATAAACGTTATAAAGAGAAGAATCTTTAGTATTTTGTAGATATAGCGACTAGTCGTTATACTAGTTATATTTCTGTTTCTACTAAGTATAGTCTTTTTATGTCTAAGAAAGAGTGGGAGAAAGTTAAAGCTAAAAAGTAGTAGAAACGTCTCGAAATTGCTCGTGCTAAGAAACGCTAACTTTAAGCCGTGATAGAGACCGCCTATCTCCGTTATAAGCTTCTAGAGGTTAAAGCGCGGGAACGAGAATTTACTAACTAAGATTATACTATCTTAAGTCTTTAAGATCGTGCGAAAGAGTAGGCTAAGGGGAGCTCTACTCCAGGTACGGGCCTTCCTATTATTAAACTACCGCTATCTAAATTATTAACTAATCTAGGCTAGTTATAGGCTGACTCTTTTAATTCTTCTTTTAATTACTTCTTCCTTTTTAAGGGGCTTTCTCTTACTTCTTTAGGTGCTTTTAGTAGTATTTACATACTAGTGACTTATAGTTCGTTAGGTTTTCTTTAGATTTCTAAGTATTATAGCTCTTAGGCTATTCTTACTACTTAACTAAGTACTTCTACTAACTACTAATTTTCTACAGGTTCTTAATTTTCTCAACCTTGTACTCGTCGTCTTTAAGCTCTATATCTATTACTAGCTTAGTATCTAGAGGTACTAGTTCTAAGAGTTTCTTATAAAAGATAGAGTAGATTCGCATACCTTATAGAAGTTTTAACTTATAGTTTACTTTCTCTATTTTCTCTAGAATCTTACATAGTTCTATTTAGAGGTTATCTAATTTTTTATATAGTCGTTTAGTTTTTAGGTTTTATCTTAATAGGAAAACTTTATTCCTCTTTTTAAAGGTTAGTCTCTTAATTCTTAGTTTATTCGCTGCTTTAGATGTTATAAGGTTCTATTAAGCTATATTCTTACTTAATTCTTTATATAATTCTCGCATAAGCTTCGCCTTATTATCTACCTCTACTGCAATACTTTTAATATTCTTTAGATCTTAGTAAATAGTTAGCTTATATCTATAGTTTGCGTAGTACGGCGAATATTTTATTATTACTAATTTTATACTATTATAGGCTAATTACGCTATTAGTAGTAACTCTATCTAGTTATTCTATAATTTATTAGCGTACATCTATAAGTACTATTCTAATATCTAGTTCGTTCGTTCTATCTAGCCGTCTATTTCCGGGTAAACGCTTATTAAAAGTTTCTTCTTAATACTTAACTTTACTAGGAATATACTCTAGTATTTAGATATAAATAGTTTATTATAATTAGTAATAAACTCTTTAGGTATCTTATACTCTAATACTAGTACTTTAGTAACTTTATATACGTATTTATCTACTATAATAGTCTCTTCTATAGGTATAAACTTTACTACTTTAGTTAATTAGTCTATAATTACTAGGATAGTATTATAGAATTGAGCTAATCCTAGTTCTAATAATTTTAGAAGCTTCACTATAAAGTCTATCGTTACGCTTATCTATAGTCTAGATAGTAGCTATAAGAGTTATAATAGGCCGTAGAGCTTATATCTCTTAAGCTTATTCTAGTAATATACTAAATAGTTACTTAGTATTTCCTACACCTTCGCTCGCAAGCGTGGTATTGTAAATATCTTAGCTAGTCGTCTAACTATTTTATCTATACATACGTGTCTATATTCTAGAGACTTATATAGAGTCTTAATAAGTTTAGTTCTTATATATAGGGGTATATATATACTTATATATTCTCTTAAGGCTTTAAGCTCTTTCCTATCGTTTATTACTTCTAGCAGGTAGAGGTCTGTTTCTAACGCCTATAGCGTTGCCTTTTCCTGCTATTATTTCTATAGTGTTTCTACCTGCTTAGCTATCTTAGCTATCTTAGCTAGTTCTAGCTAGTTATACTTTAGACTACTATTAGGTATTATCTTAAGTAAGGCGTTATATAGTTCTTTATAACCCTCTTTGCGCAAATTAGACTTTCTACTTAAAGTATCTACTACTCTATTAAGCGTCTCTACGCGGTGCGTAATCTTAAAGTTATACTAGGCTAGTATCTTTACTTATCGTACTTATTATTAGTTAAGTTTTTTTATTATTATAAAACTCGTTAAGTTCTAGTAATTAGTAAAAACCTTAATCTATTTAGAGAGTTCTAATAGGTATACTTCCTATTATTTAAAGGCATCGACTACTCTAAGTAGTTCCTTATTATAAATATTATAGTTAAGTTCTACTCTAAAGAACTTCCGTAAATAGTAGAATACTAGTCTTTATTTCCCGTCTAGGTACTACTATAATAATATAGCTCCGAGTGCATAGTCTAAGGCGTTAGTCTTAACTCTTATTAGTTATTAAGGGCTGTACATCTTAAGTATAGGTGCCTCTAGGAATATCTACTTAATTCGATTAAAAGCCTCTTAATGTTTCTATTCCTATTTAAAATCTATTTTCTTTTTTGTTACTTCTGTAAGAGGTGCTGTAATCTTTAAGTAATCTCTAATAAACTTTTAATAGTAATTTGTAAATCCTAAGAAGAATTAAATATTCTTAACTATTTTAAGTATTAGCTATTCCTATATAGTCTATATCTTCTTTAGATTTATTTTTACTTCTTTGGTTAATATAATAAATTTAAGAAATTCTGTTTCTTATATATAGAATTTATACTTTCTTAGTTAAAGGTATAGCTTATATTTCTTAAGCTTCTATAAGACCTTCTTAATATACTTAATATGTTCTTTGCGTGTACTACTAGAGTATACTAGTACATCGTCTAGATACGCGGTAATAAAGATTCTAAGGTACTTATAGAGAGCGTTATTAATAACTAATTAGAAGGTTGCTAGCGTATTTATTAATCTAAACGGCATAACTATGTACTTAAAGAGTCTATACTTCGTTTTAAACGCTGTTATCTATTTGTGACCTTCTTTAATCCTAATTTAGTAAAATCCTTCCTAAATATTAAACTTTATAAACTACTTAGCTCTCTAGAGTTAATCTATAAGCTCTGTAATAAGTAGTAAGAGATATTAGTTCTTCTAAATAACGCTATTTAACCTTCTAAAGTCGATATATAGTTGCTACTTCTCGTTAGGTTTCTTTATAAATAAAATAGGTAAGGCGATTAGGCCTAATTCTAGTTAGATAAATCCCTTCTTTAAGTTTTTCTAAATATAATCTCGTAGCTTAGCGTTATACTTAGGCGCTATAGAGTATATTAGTCCTAAACTTAACTTAGCTCCTTTATTAAGAATAATCTCGTAATTCTAATCCTAATAGTCTGCTAGGTCTATTACCTTATTTTCTTTAAATAGTTCTCTAAACTCGTCTGTTTAGTATTCTATTAGAATCGCTAACTATAGTACCGATCCTTTCTTTGTAATCGCGATCTACTATATCTAAATAACTTCTATATTCTAAGGGTTCTTTATATAGATTCTCGCGATCTTATATAGTAAGATTATACTAAATCTCTTATTCTAGGTTGCGCGCTAATTTATTAGGCGTATCTTATGTTATACTCTAGTAACCTTATATATAGGCTCTTAGCTGAGTAATGTCTTCTTTTACTAGTTAATAGTAGAGTTATACTTTAATAACTAATTATAGCTAATTATTATCTTAGTCTCTCTAAGATCTATAATACTAATCTTTTCTTAGCTTTCTTAACCGGCTAGGCGTAACGTTACTACCTTAGTCTTAAGTTAGATCTAGCCGTTCCTATATATTATAGAACTATTATTAGCTAATACTACTTATATTAGTACCTTCTTATTCTAATAGAGTACATTATTTCCTTCTACTACTCGTGGCGATATAACAGTTTATACTACCCTACTATCTATAAGCGCTAACATCTTATATCCGTCTATAAGTACTATAGCTTTTAATTATAACTTTTTTACTCCTACTTCTTATACTTATTTAAGAGTTATTTTAGAACTGCCTTTGCTAACGTGACTTTATCTCTAGTAGTATTCTAGTTTTTTAACTACCTACTTCCCTTCTTCTTTAACAAGTAGCCTTCGCCTGTCTTAGTGGAATAGTATATTATATACTAGTCATTATAGTAGAAGCTCTGATAGATATTCTTATAAGGTATTTTCTATTGCGTAGTTCTCTTTCTTAGTTCTAGCTTCTTACTTTTATAAATTAGGTAATCTTTTATCTTATAAATATTCGCTAATAGAGTACTATAGTATTAGTTATCTACCCGCTAAGCATTCTCGAACTATTATTAGTATATAGCGCGTTCTTTTCTGTAATACTTTTATAGAAGTTTATTATACTCTACTAGCGTTTTCTATACTTAGGCTCTATATATTCTATAGTTTTTTACTATACATTCCTCCGCGGAAATCGTGCTATAATAGTAGTTGTCTACCTTTTTAGCTTTCTATTACTATTTCTTATAGAATTAGTACTTAATCGTGTATTTAATCTAGTATAACTCTTTATAAGCTTCCTTTTCTTTAGGCTAGTATATATAGTAATACTATACGCGATACTTGTTATACTATAAATTAGTATAGCAGCAATTATTCTTATTATCTATAGTCTCATCTCGCTTTCTTAAGTAGTAATTATACTATCTTAGGTAGTCGACCTAATATAGGCGCTCGTGTTACTCTATCTATTTCTTAAATATCTAAGGTGTCTCCTCATTATTAGGTTCCTTAAACCTAGGTTGTTTCTAGGTAGCTCTATAGGTAATTTTCTCTACTTAGAGTCCTAAGATTATAACTCTTCTATTATAGTCGCAATTATTAGCTTAGTACGTAGTTAGTTTATAGATCTAGTACTATTAATTTCTTAGGCGGCGTAGTACTTCGGCCCTTTTAATCTACTAATCTATTAGTAGTAGTGCGTTCTACTTAAAGTTCTAGAGTCCTATTACCTCTTATACTAGCTTAAACGCCTCGTTTATAGCTTATCTTACTTCTTTATATAGGTCTAGGTCGCTAAGAGTTTTATCTAGTTTCTTAGTTAGGTATAGTATTAGTATCTAATTTATTCTAATCTTAACTACTTTTTATTTAACTTTATTATCTAGATAGTCTCTACGAAAGTATCTTATCTTCCTATATTAGAGACATGCTTTATTATTATAATACTTCTTACATTCTTCTAGAGAGAGTCCGTTATTATACTATTCTTAGAGTTTTCTATTCTTATCTTTAGACTTATCTTATACCTTGCTAGTTATAATAGTATCGCTATTCTTATTAAACTAGCTAAGCTACTTCCTTGCGTTAGCTATCGTAGGTTAAAATTATTTCTTTTATTAGTTTCTTTCCTATAGCCTATTATTAATACGTATTACTAACTTAATTAGCGCGTAAAGTATTGTTAGCTTATCGTGATATATAAGTCTGTCTTTAACATTTTCTTTTAGACCTGCTTTTAATACTGTTCGAAGTGCTACGTTATTCTAGTTAATTCGTACTTATAGCTACTTAAACTTAGCTATATACGCTAATACTAAACTAGTCTACTTTAGGCGAGTTATCGCTTTCTCTGTCTAGTTCTAAGCATCTACTTCCCTAAAGATATATCCTATCTCTTTCTTAAATTCAGCCTAACTAGTAAATAAGGCGCGCGTCTCGTTCTTCGTTTCTTTATTCTTAATATTTAATAGATAGTTCTCTACGTATAGCTATATCTAGCTTAACGCTTATCCTTTTATATAGGTACTAGCTATAAGAATCTTCTTCTAGTTATTAGATATCTTATTAAATTCGCAGTATAAGTTAATATTAGTGAGAAATATCTATAGCTTAGTGCAACTTCTATCGTACTTTTCTAGGGTTGCTATTTTTAGCTTCTTAAGTAGTTTCTTATTTAGGGTAGTTATTAGTTAACTTATAAGTTAGTTAATCGTATTCTATAACTTAGCTATCTACCTTACTTAAGCTTAGCTCTCGCGTCTAAGATTAATAAGTTTATACTTAGGGCTCTCTGCCGCTAGCTTATTACTTCTCTCTTAGGTACTACTAGTTATATTAACATCTCCCTTAGGCACTAGGCCTAGGATGTTAACGTATTCGCTTAAATTTCCTAATATAGTTTAATCTTAATTAGACGCTGTTAGTTAATTCTTCTTCTACTGAATCCGTAGGTGGTTAAAGTATTACACGGGGTATAGGTCTATACTTCTCTATTCTAGTCCGCACTAAGGTAGGTAAGTATTACGTTAGTATTCCGTAAGGCTTATCTAGCGATGCAGTGGAGTTAGCGTACTTAAGGAGGGTTTTAATAAGACTAATCTATTTAATAGACTAACTTGCGACAATCTTGTTAAGTAAAGATACTAGTAAGAAAGTATAATTTAAGTTAACTACAACGAGAGTAAATAATGAAATCTATCCATCCTTATATCCTTATTACTTCTAGTCCTGGCTTTATAGTCTTTACGAAATAATCCTTATATCCCCTAAAGTCTCTAAAGCCACCTAGTCACGTGTGAGGGTGTCCTCACATACTAGTGCGGAATACTCATTCTTAGCGTGAAGCTAGTCACGTGATCTTCGCCCCGCGATAATTATTACCTTCTGACGTGGACGTCTATAGGCCTTCAGCCATCTCGTTATTTATTAAGGAGAGAATCTTTTGTTACACGGGGTATGGGTCTATACTTCTCTATCCTGGTCCGCACTAAGGCAGGTGAGTATTACGTTAGTGTTCCGTGAGGCTTGTCTGGCGATACAGTGGAGTTAGCGTGCTTAAGGAGGGTTTGATAAGACTAATCTATTTAATAGACTAACTTGTGACAATCTTG